TTTAAAAATCGAAATATTAGTTGGTATATTAAGTACATATATACGTCGACTAAAAGAATTCGAGAAAATTTCGAGGGCTTTTCGGCCTTACCACGTGAGATTGTTCCAAAACAGTTTTTTAAGTTTAGGAGGGATAAAAAATGAGTCAATATTTAATACCCCAGCATAAACACTTTCTACTGGCAGTCAACAGAAACAATATAAAGCAAAATCCTGTGTGTATCAAATTTCCGCATGCTGGGATCCAAATTTGTCTTCCTTAACAACCCACTTTTCAGTGTTTTCATCCTGCTTGAAATTGAAAACAAACCTCGTATATATAAGTATATTTTTTTCTCGAAATGGTATACATCAGAATTGGCTTGCGTTTAGAGAAAAGGATTGGGATATAGGGTTTAGTGACCGCATGTATGTTTAATCAGCAGGTGCGGCAGTGAATTCATTTGTTTGTATAGCTAATCACTTGATTTCGAGTGAAACTTGGGAAAAATCAGCGCAAGTAAATTTTTAGAGGCTAACCAAGTTGTACAAGTCCGTAGAGCGAGTGCAATTTGTGTTGTATTTGAATTTGTTGAATTTTTAGCCGTGTTTATAGTTCATTGGTGTGGCCGCTTGCCTTCGTATTGTTGCTGAAGTCGTCGGGGTTTTCCTGCAAGAATTTTCCTCGAGCTTTTAAATCTTCTTTCTCGAATAAATAGGTGTTTGCACGCTTTCTCATTCAGAATTAGCTCAATAATAGCAACCAGTACGCAAAGGCTATCACGCTCGTAATTTAATCCCCGTCTTCCGTACGAACGGTTGCGTAAACTCCAAGATAATACGTTTCAGTGCTGTTGTCATAGCCGTTATTGGAAGCCCAAGACTTCACGAGTTTAAGCCAGTTGTTTGTGCTTTGTTTGGTGTTTTTGCTCTGGATTAAAGCTTTGTTACTTCTCCTAGCCTGTCCGCCATTTTATTTTGTTGTGCTGTCGCGACTCTCCTGTCAATTAATATAATTTTGAGTTTCTGGACTCAATTTCAACTTTCTGCACTGTTTGGGATAAACTGACGTGTCCTCAACCAATGAGCATACTGAAACTTTTGCATGCATATCGGGCAAACTGAACTACCCTCAGTAGAAATCATCTGTTTCGGCTACATGTTGTGCAAAAGTTGGATGAATTCAGAGGACGCGAAAAAAACCGTTACGGTACACCTAATAGAAGAATACTTACAGACAACAGTAACATTCACTGAGGCCGTAGCAGGTGTACCCACTCCATTGCTGGCTGTACATTGATACTGGATCATGTTGTCTTCTGTCCCAGGTCTGCTCACATTCACAATAATTAGTGATGGTGACACAGAGAGAACATTGGAACTACCAATTCTTGTCCATGATATACTCGGTTCAGGTTCACCAGATGCATTACATGTCAATAAAGCCTTATTGCCCTCAACAATGGTAACCTTCTCTGGTGAAACTGACACCAGTGGAGTATCTGAAAGATAGTACTCACGAACAATGATTTGACAAACAGGACTCCCTAATTCACCAACTGATAAACGATATGCATACATTTTTTTGAAATACTATGTAACACGGAAAAGTTGAGGGAAAAATATTCCTCAAGATCAATGAAAAATCTCAAAAATTCAACACTATATCATTTAACATTTTGTTTGACTTATGAATAACTTTGAGAGGTTTAGCAAGTGCTTTAATTCAACACAAACGAAAAGCTTCTAAGGCCTTTAACTTTCTGTGTGCAATGCATTAAAGACAAGAACATTTTAGAAAGAAAACCAACCGTGGCGGTAAAATTTTATGATTTTTAAGAATTAAATGCAGAACTACCGTTAGGAATGACACAATGAAACGTATCTTGCATCAAATGTTAGCTCCAAACATTAACTATGTTGGTAACATAAACTATCACCAGACAACGACGTAAAACAAGTTAAAAGGGCCCATGTAAATAAGGGTTAGAGCTTCTTTTAATACTCAACAAGGGACTAGATATTGAATGATTGATTGAAGAGATTTTACCTTTGTCAAAATTTAAATTTCTTGATACATGAATTTTTGTTACATATCTTTGCAATACAAAATATTTATTCCTTGACGTTTTTTCGTTCTTAATGCACACAGAAGTTGCTATTTCAAGAGCAACAATGCTAGAACTGTACAACAAATATACCATTTATATACATAACACTTTTTTGAAGTAAGACATAGCTACTGCTTTTAAAATCAAACTCCTTCTCAGGACCTAAGGGAGACAAACTTGTTAGAAGGTGGGTACGATTTATTATCAGTGATGCAACACATGTTTACTCACATTGCACTTCAACACCTGTTGTATGAGAAACGCTCCCACAATCACTAGTGGCTACACATCTGTATTCCCCAGCTTCACTCCTTTTAATGTTTATAAGCTTCAAGACGTTTGTGGTAGCACGCTGACCATCAGGTTTGATCCAAGACACCACAAGTGAAGGGCCTCCGGATGCCAGGCATATCAGAGTCATATCACCCCTTCAGTTAATGTCTGATTTTCTATGGTTTGTATGTTTGGAGGCCCTGTCAAATAAGAATCAATTAGTAAGCACATTTTAAACCAGTCTAGTGGGCTCAGTCATGAAGAGCCAATTTTTTTACGCAAACAAACAGCGGCTAAACTATGTGGAAATAACCGGCCCTAAATGTTTTACTATACATTCCAATTAAAAAACAAAACAAATCTCATACAGGTGTCGCTCTACCAATTTATTGCAAAATTTTGCAAATCCCAAAGGTAAATAAGAAATTTGCAAAAGTCCTTCAACGTTTTTTCATCATAGTGAGTGGTTTTTTTTAGGTGGATTTTAAACTTTTGTCTCCGAGAAGCCTTTTTTTTGTCCTTCACTTTTTGTTTAAAAGCAATTCGCTGCCATGGTGCAAAAAGTTACGTTTTCTTGACGAGAGCTGGTATAGTAATTTGTCACGGTTTCAAGGTGCGCGACCTGATCACGCGCCTTGGCGTCTATCTTACCAGCTTCTTTATTAGCTGAAATGTTAAAATCACAGTCAATAAAGTAGATTAGTTCAATGACAGACATCCAGATGATGTGCAATTGCAAGGACCAGTTATCATTCCATAATGAGCCGTGGGGGAAGTGGTGCGTCACTTGTTGTCATGTGATTAATGAATGTTAAAAAAAAAAATTAGTCGATGGATTCCCCTTACACCTATCCAAGGCAGCTTTGAACTGGCGTTAGAAAAAGTACTCAGTTTTCTAGATAATCTGATAATCTTTGATTTGTTCATTTTAAAAAAGTTTAGAGCGTTTAGGGCGGGGAGGGAGGACTCTGATTGTCAGCTTGAACTCTCACAATCCTTTTGCTATTCAAACTTATGATATAGAAAAGTCATTTACCATTTACACTGACGGCAATCCATTTACTATGTACTATTCCAAGAGTGTTGTTGACCACGCATTTGTAGATGAAAACTCCCCCAATTGACATGTTTCTGAACCACATTCTTGAAGTGTTTTTGTCTAAAATAGCAGTGTTGTTCTCAAACAGCTGGTATGATATCACCGGCGGATTAGCATCAGCTAAGCAGCTAAACTTGATGACATCATTCCGGCATACTTTGTGGCTGGCAGCAGACGTTTGAAACTGCGTAATCTCTGGTTTGACTGGGAGAGGAGCATGATAAAGTCACTGTATCACTTATGAGCAAATAATTTATTTGCTCATTCGCAAAACAGCAAATACGTGCCTTTTAACATCACAACAACTGCGCAAACAATAGTAATTTATAAATAATTTTCAAAAACTTGTCCCTGAAGGACTAGGCCTAACTCACCATAGAGGTCTTAGATTCATTTTCACATGTTATCCTATTTAAATTAGAAGCATTTTTAGTGGCTGGTAGAAATCTTTGACGGCCGAGTAGAGATCAGTGAAGAATCACTCAAGAGATGTAGATTTGAAAAGCAGGATATTCTGCGTAGCTATTTTGCTTTATTTTGTGTTATTCATCTTTTCACCCGAAGAATTGAGCTGTTTCAGACACTTTTTTGTGTAACTTTTTAATGTACTTTCCCTTTGCCTTTGACTTATTTAAGTTGTAAATCAAATACAATGTATTGCATAAGTTTCTCATCACTGTTAAATGGATATTGCTTCCCATCTTTAGGAAAGGTAGAATTCCCAGGGATAAATTCTTTTTTCCCATAAATTTCATTTTACAGCTCAAGTTCTAACGACCCCTGAGAACTTTAGCCACCTGTTCAATTACTGGAAAGCAATATCCTGATATGAATTATAAATAATATGCTTGAAGTCTGAGAGTTATTTACATACACAGTACAGTAACATTGACTGTAGCTGTAGCTGGTGTCCCCACTCCATTACTGGCTGTACATTGATACTGGATCATGTTGTCTGCTGTCACAGGTCTGCTTACATTGATTGCGACTTGTGATGTATAAGAGATCATCTCCGAACTGCCAACCTTGGTCCAAACTATTCTGGGCTTAGGTTTGCCAGATGCAGTACATGTAAAATTCAAGCTTTCTCCCAAAACTACAACAGATGTTTTGTTTGATATTTCCGCTGACGGGGGAACTGAAACATGAGTAGAACTAATCAAAGAATTCAGAGATAGTGGTGAGAGTGACAGGGAACATCTGTGGTATTTCTAGGGTGATTAAGTTTTTTGTTGTATCTTATTATGATATGGACACTATTGTTCTGCCGAGAACCAAAACACTTGTAGAATTATTATGGCTACTACTGGTTTATCCCAGAACTGATCGTCTGACATATTCTCCATAAAGAGAAGCAATATCAAGCAACAATGTTTTAATAAGCCTTTTCAACCTTTGCTAAATAAACTTGGTTATTTTGGGATAAATGCCGCTTCAAGATATGTTGTGGTAAGCAAGGAAGATGTAGTTAATTTTTTGAACAACAAAATGAAAGAGCCTAATCGAAACATGGCAGGAAACAGATCTGAAAAGTATATGTTCGGTGCCAAGCACTCTTCGCCAACTCGTGGTAGAAAGAGGTCGAAAATGACTAATTCCAATAATAGGTTACGATCTGTTTCCGTGTTTTCACTATTTAAAACCCAATTAGAAGTATTTTATGTCCATGTAACAGCATGACCCGTGCGTTGACCAATTCTTTAATCAAGGAATTCAGTATTTTAATCAGTTAAACGAGAGCTCGAGGATATAAATTTTGGGTCCAAACACGCCATTTCTGATGGAATCAATTCGGAATAACAATCATAAATACTCTTTTATGTAACTAATTACCGGTGGTCACATTATTAATCATTAAAATTACTTACAAAAAGTTATTGTTGTAATCGTCCTACAAAAAAAATCGAGTAGCTAGTGGTTGTAACCACTTTATGAATTATATAGTTAAGCTTCCCAAATTAAGACAAACTGAATACAAAATACTTTAGACCAAAGACCGTTATAGCACAAATCATGTCTGGATTTCCTATAATAATAAGAATTAATTATAATCATACTAGATAGTCCAACCTAATCTCAAGACACACGTTAGCCACTGTAAATTAAAGATACAAGGTCACTCACCAACAACAACAAAATTAAGAGTATCATTGCTTCCCGTGCCAAATACGTTTAATGGAACACAAGTGTACACTCCATCGCTTTCAACAGTGACGTTGAACACTCCAGAGCTGCTGTTACCAACATAACTCTCATTTAAATACAGGTGATAGACAGCGGGTGGGTTTGCGTTTGTGAGACAGAGAAGTGTCAAACTGCTGTTCAAAAGTATTGTGGTGTTCTTTGGATTGCTCTCAATGGTAAGACTTGTCATCTTTGGAGCAGCTATAAAGTTTAAAACAGGAGGGATTCATAATAGCAACCCAGTGTAGATGTGATTATACAAAATGGCAAATTATTATTGTTTAATTAATTGTCAGAGCATTCCCGTAACCACTGTTTCAACAAATAAATTAGATTTTGTAAATTGGCGTGAGCCATTGTACTATCTTCCGAGGAGATAAAATGGTGTTTACTCTCGCAGCTTCATTAATATAGCCCCGTCAAGGCCGAAACAATAGCATTAACCGTGAGTCTCAACAGCTTCGATGCAATGATGTCAGGCACTGAGGACTTGTTATTATTGAGCACGTTAATTTTGGCTTGAATTGATCGCAGCGAAATTGTGAACTCCTCAAGCAGCGGGGGTTCAGTTCTTTTATTTACAATGTCTAATATGGAGGCTCGAGATCGGTTTACTTTAGTATACGACTTTAAAAGACCTTCAGCCTCTGCAAGATGTATCATAGACCGATGGAGTAGCGCGCATTATTATCCAACTGCATTGAGAGGAGTGCTTTTAACGTACGAATAAAGTTCAGGTAGAGCATTGTACATTTGATTATTTTGTAATGTAAAAAACCTGTTTAACCGGTCGGCTGCGCGTGCTATGCTTCTCTATCTGCTTTGCTTTTCCCGAGTAATAGGATATGCATAAAATGGAGCGGTTGAATAATTAATAACCTATCATACATTTTGGTGTGTAGTATCACTAAGTGTTTTCACTCGCTAATTGTATTTTGACTCGTCCTGCGGGCTCGTCGCATTAAGGCGCAACTCGTGAAAACACTCGGCGATAACACACACCAAAACATCAATCATGATGTCAACTTCACACGCTATTGCATGTTGACTGTGATATATAATATATATATGACTAATGTATAATAATAAGATATATATGTTTTATTCGAAGTAAGGGCTTAAATGGGTTAAGATTGGCCCATTATATCTCTTTTGCGAATATTCCCGAAAGCAGTTATTGGTATGGAACATTTAAGGAAAATTTTAAAGAAATAATTCTCATATTTTTGTTTCTGAGGAATCATCTTAAATATCTTTGACAAGGGAAATACATTTAACAAAATGTGAACCCCCCTCCCGAAAACTTGGAATGGGTGGCTAGACTTTTCAACAAAAGGTCTTTTTATGGATATTACAGTATTTCCTATCATTTGGCAACAGAAAAAAACAAAGAAAACAATGTTTTTGAATCCTACGACCTTTTTTTTCGTCTTAGGGAGTCAACGATCTAAGTTTTAGTTCATTCAAGTGGTACTTTACTTACACAGAATGTCTAATTCCACCAAAACACTTATACTCCTTCCATTGTTCGCGGTGACATTGTATGTTCCACTGTCAGAGATGCGTGCATTGTCAATCACCAAAGTTGAATTATGAGAAACAACATTCCCAGATTGTGGCTCCTTGCTCCAAGTAATGTTTGGCTTTGGGTCACCAGTGACAATGCATGGAATGATGGCTTGTTCTCCTTGTGTGATTCTCACTGTCTTTGGACACTGAAGAGTTGGTTGTACTGCCATAATAATAAGATGATTGGTACGTAAGATGATTATTGTCATTCATTATTATGAACAATATGGATGTAAATGAGAACTGGCACATTGAGAGAATTAACCATACAGATCCTTATATACTGAACTATACAACAATGTATGCATGCATTTTCTACAATTCATCTGAAACAAAGGATATGAAAGTTCATGTTATCTAACATTGAAGTAAGGTATGTTAATAAACTACATACCTTTCTCATAACGCTACTTGACTCAAAAGAGGAATAAATATATAACGCCAGGAACTCTATGGGTTAAAGATTTTAATCGTGATATAATACTGACGAGCGCGTTACACATAGGCTAATTAAGGTTCTGGCGTCCACGAAGACCAAGAAAAGACTCGGAGACTACTAAGCGTAAACTACAGTGCATTTGGCGTGAACATGGGGAGGGAGTGTCGATTCACTCAAAGGTTAAATTTGCTAAAAAAGAGTTGGAAAATATGATGGACCAGTGACTTTTAACTAGAAATCAACTTCAACCTTAAAAAGTATAAAAAGTTTCTTCGCTCTTCGGAGAGGAAACTCTCCAAAGGATTCACCCGTGAGAGCTAAGTTTACAAAATTCACGCCATGGTGGGAGTCGTGATAAGACTATCAACACTGTTTAAAATCATCGCGAAAACTTTAAACAATATCCCGTTCAACCCCTTCTGAAAAGAGACAGTGTGCTGTCGTCAAGAAATACGAGTGTTTCTCAAAATTATAAAACACAACAGTACGTAAGCAAGTTACCTCCCTCTAGAAGGAAAATACATTATATAAGGGTCCCCATGGGGTTAACCGTTAGCCGTAAAACGGCCAAAATATTTAGCCGTTAGACGTAAAAATTGACAAAAATATCTCTGGTGGAAACAATGGAAAGGTGTTAACCGTTAGCCGGAAATTGGCCAAAATTTTAACCAATAGCCGTAAAAGCCATCACCCCATTGAGACCCTCTTATATCTGAGCATTAACAAAAAAAAAAACTTCACCCGACGAATAAAAACAACCCGGAATCTGTTGGGGCACGAAATTGATAAGTCCACCTTGAAAAAAGAGCAACTTAACTTCGGATCGAAATCAGAGTAATTTGGTATTATCAACGAGCTTATAACGCAAATTGGCCACCGGAAAGAGTTTCAAAGCTAACGTTTCAAGCGTTAGCCTTTCGTCAAGATCAGTGCTTGGTTTTGAACCGCAGAGGGCTTCCACGGGAAGTTGCTCTACTGTAAGATAAATTTGAAACGGCCAGCACACTTCGAATTCCTTTGGTCGCTGAGTTTGGCACCGGTCATATTGAGAAAGCTATACTAATAATTTCAGGATCGATTTCTTCGGAAAATGTTGAAGGGATAAAGCTCAAATTCGGCGGAGATATAGAGCAACATCTCATCGATTAATAACCATCGCCAGTTGGGAGAAATTTTCAATATTTTGGCGTGGAAGTGGTCGTGGCTGGCGGCCATCAAGTTGCAAGCCTTGTTTCCCTTTCTTCTCTTAACGGCCTCCGGCTAAAAGTAATTTTGTAAAACGTCGCTTCAAACGGCCAATGAAGACTCATGTCATCAGTCATCATTCATAGTGTGGTGTGAGTATAAACGATGGAGTTTTCTATTAAAAAGATCACACTTGCCTTGCGCAAGCCAATAATTTAGTTGATATTTGTTAAGGTCAAAAGTCAGTACAAAAGAATTTTGTTCGTATCTTACTCACAAGACTATGGGGTTGGCAGCCACGCTGTCTGTGTTGTCTTTTTCCTCGTTTATATTTCCTAATTTTGCATCCAAGAACGTCGTAATTATTGCAGTAGCGACGATACATCGAGTATTTGATGGCATTTGACTTCGACAGACGAACCTCGAGCTGGCATATAAGATGGCAGCGATTCTTCTTTGGTTCTGAGCATTCTTGTTTGAAGCGTAATTTCTTCCAACCGGTGTCTTGCATATATCGATGTCAGGGAGGCCCAGCTTATCCGTTCTGTATTTTTTAAATGCACGCTCGCTTATAAATAAGACGGCGTTTTGGCGTTTTTGGAATCTCAGCCTACTCTTAAGAGTCTCACTTAAATGATACTATACTTGATGCGGAACTATTTCCACTGAACTACGTTGCCTACCGCGAAGATCGAAATGAGAAAGGTGGGGGTGTACTTTCGGCTGTAAGATTCGAAATATTCGAAATTTTTATTTTATAGGGACGGGAAAGAATCGATCAGCGGTTTGGGTGCGTTGGGTTTGAATCGACTGAAACTTGGATATGAGTCGACTGAATTTGAAGTTGAAATTACCGTGGGTAAGAAACGATTGGATACTATCATCAATATTTAAGAGAGGTTCTAAGTTAGCAACGTGAAGGTTTCGCTAATGCTGACATGGAAAAACTTACCTGTATTTGTAAGTTAATTACCTTTTTCTTAAAATGAGGAAGTCATCCGCAATCATCCGCGAGCAAAGAGTAAATTTGAACACATGGCTGTCACGGAGAGGCCTTACATGCGCCTTCCAAGCAATAATATCAAATAGAGATATAGTACCATCCCTTAACGGTTATCTTACCTCTAACTTCCAAGCTGAAGTTTCGTGAAATGTGACGATCACCCAACGTCAGAAAGCGCACTGTGAATTTGTAAACACTTTCATCTTCCTTTGCAACCTCATTAATTATCAATGTGGCTTCCTCTGATCTACTTATAGTGATGTGTGGTGCGAAGACTTCAGCATAACCTACTGTCTGGCCAGAAATAAAGTTTTTCACTGCAACAAACTCACGATGTGACTCGTTGCCTCGATCCCATGCTCTGTTAATGGCAATGTTTGCAGCATTCTTTTCTTCTGTAGTCAGATTGTAATCCCACTTTAACGCAACTGTTGTACCATTCCAAACACGAGTTACCGAGTCAGGATACTTGGTCCATGTTAAACAATCTCAAACATAATAAAAACCTAAATTTTAACGTGCTTCACCAACTACAAAGATAATTTTCTTCATCAATAAAGATGAAAAACCTTTATCTACTTTGAGCTTGAATTAACAATTCTTAATTAAATAGTATATACAGAAGTCATTTAAGAAGCTGATTTTGTCCGACGAACTTTCACGTTAGGCAGACATACAAAGCATGTCAGTGCCACTCCAGATGTCTCATTTTCTGGGCGCGCGTCTATTAAATGAAAACGCATCTACAATACCTACTCTTTTCACGATGCTTTACATTTGATCATGGTCTAAAAACTAGTTCATATGGCTAATATATTCCTTACATTTTTTTTTAAGGACGCAGTCTCTGTGGGTGCTATATAAATGCAATCGTTAACTTTGGGGCCGATAATTACTGAACCTCATTAAATTAATTGTTCGCTCTCTCTACATTATATCGGCAATTTCAGCCTAAGAAGGTATACAGATAAACTCCAGTCCAAGTTTTTGAAGAAAACGGAGGCGGTCCTTTTTATCAGGAGGGAAATTACTATGGATAATCATAAACGAACTAGAATGCTCGATATTGCACAGCGCTTGCTGCACTGCAATAATTTTAATATTGCAGCCTGCGGTCGGCAATGTTTTTAATATTGCAGCGGGCTCGGTATTAACTGCTTTGTTTTACTTTGGTACTTTTTTCACTTAGTAATTTGTAGAAATTCTTGGACCCCATCATGTATTGTACATTTGAACTTTGAACATAAATCACAGAAATGCCATTCAAGAAGACGTACAAATGCAAATATTTTTAAAGTTTAATTAGTGCACACCTTACGAAGACAAAGTTTCTTACTTTCTTGAAACATAAATCTTAATGCTATTTGTACTAATTATAACTGACTGAAAATGATCTACGTTCTTCGCCCATTTTCGATAACTTGCGTCCGATACCCAACTTTTTTCAAACTTCTTGCAATCAAATGACGTATTTGGTTTTCTGAATCTTTGCATCTCTGAAGAGGGAAAAATACAAGGCAACCTTTTCTTATTCATTTAAAAATTAAAACTGCAGATTCGTCTTCAGAAGAATCCTCCATACAGCTTTGTGTAGGTTTGTGTAAGCCGAGGAATGCCTTCCAACAAACAATTCAAAATGACCAAATACGTTGCGTTATATACTGAGCAAATGCATGCCTTTTCGTCATTTACATGAAATTCATTAACACTGTTCTCACATGCAGGTGAAATAAGAAAACTCTCCTGACAGGTATGGGAGGTTACATCATCTAAACAAGATGTTGCCAATGCCTGGATAGGGCAATGAAAAAGGATTACGCAATTTTTATCACTACTTTACAATATATGCTAGTTTTTACTTGGTGTACGAAAAAGGTCAATGTTGAAGCGACTGAAATCGTTTATGTAATGCAGAAAGAGAACACTAAGATTTTAGGAAGGTCATTGATTATAATAGATAATTACTTCGGCTCACAGCATAATTAGATAGAATGTTGTGAGCTTTAGTTCTTAGCTATTCTAATTGAAAATGGCACCAGAGGCCATTATTTTCCCACCCTTGGACTGAGCGTTGTTCCGAGGAATCCCATTAAACTTGAAGAGCATTTTAGCTCTTTCTCAGATGTAACGAATTCTATTTCATCGTTTTTGAGTGCGTAGAAAGCCTGATGAAAACGATGTACAATTTAATCGCCCCTCACGAGAAAAGAAAAATGAAAATTTCAAACTTTTTCACACAATCATGTCGAGAGGTTTACTCTAACAGAAATAGTAGAGATTGCAATGTACTTGTCCATGAAGGTTATAGCAGGCGTTATCTTAAGGCTCAAGAATATTGTTCAATTTATATTGATCATGAATTGAAGGATTGATTTCCGAATTATTTGATCCCACAGCTTCGAAAAGTTTTACACAAAATCAGCGGATGAGTAGACCAGAGAGAAAGAATAAGCACCGAGCTAACCTCGGAAGTAAGACAAGTTCAATCTTCTGCGGATTCTAACTTGTCAGCACCTAGTGTGACACCAGAAGATATGAATGCTTTCAATACGACGCAAAAATGAAATTGATTTTAAATTGAATCATGGATCTCAAGTAAAATTTGTCTTTAAATAAGATATTTAGGTGACAGCAACCAATACATTCTTTAGAAAAAATTAGTTAATGAAACTGTTATTGTGTATCACACATTTCCTTCCGGCCGATTTCCGTTTGTTTTCTTTGCATCGTGCTTAAAAGGAACAGTGTCACGGTGACTCATGCGCTGTGACGTGTACTGTTAAAAAAGTGGTGGTAATTTCCCAAATTTCGTCGTCGGAACTGGTTGTGGAGTTCTATTCTCAATCTTTGCCATCCGCAGATGATCCAGAATATACAGCGTTTTTTTCGTTTTCTCATTTTTTCAATACTTTGCCGGATGAAGCTTCGTTTAGAGTTTCGTTCATATGTGTTGTTCATGATTGTTGTTGCGGTTGCGTACGAAGGCGAGTATGTTTATCGGAAGTCCACTGTAGCGACCTTTAATGGAAAGATTTACCATAAAACTCGCTATGCAACTCTAGGCAGTCTTTGAAGGCTGCCAGTAAAGACAAGGGTAACAATACTGTTCGTATTGATTTCCATTTTATGTGAAGAGGAAGATTTGTGCAAAATTCATAAAGGAAACTACGCGTAGAACACACAAGTACACACCAAATAACTCCCATCTTGGAAAATGTGAGTTCTGTTACAATGCGCTGAGCCTGATAATTTAAGCAATTTGTTCTGAATTTTTTACATAAGTTATCGAAACGGTTTTTGAGGTTCATGTTGTTAGTATGAGAGGATATAATTCTAAGTAGTGAAAATAAAATCTGCAACGCGCATAACATATTAGTCTTTGTGTGATAAAGTAATTTGTGGTAAACTACAAGACGTTTATTTGCAGCTCATCTCCTGAGACACAGTGTGCAAAGAAAATGAAACACCTTGGCTTTTATCCACGACAGAAAGTTAACTTTAATCAGCTACTAGCCCATTATTATCATCCATCTGCTCAAAGTAGAGTACAAATAACGCGTGAATAGAGTACAAATATCCTGCAATATTGTAAGGTTATTTGGACAGTTGGTTATTTTATACTATAAAACAAAAAACCTGTTTAACCAGTCTGCTGCGCGCGCTACGCTTCTCTATTCGCTTTCCTTTTCCCGCCCTCCTAGAAATGGACAGAAAGACTTAGCAGAAAAATAAGCACTCGTAAAAATACTCAGCGATGCTACTGCACACTAAAACGTCTGATGAGATGGATATATTAGCAGATCAGATTATCGAGCGAGCATTCTGCATTAAGCATTCAGGTATAATATTGATAGCCACCTATGCTGGCATTACCATACTGATTATGTTTGAGATAGACTTTAGAAAAGCATTAATATAATGATAAAGGTCGGTAAAGTATTTATTTTGTGCTCAAATCTTAATTAGCATCCACTTATCTAGCATACTTTATGTATGGTTGTCTTGTGTGCGTGAATAATTACGAAAATCCGTCATATCATCTTCTCAGTTTAAAAAAAAAAAGGGCAGTCAGAATAATTAAAAATTCTCCTTTACGAGATCACATTACACTTCATTATATTGACTTTGGTTTTTTTAAATTTCGTGCCTCTCTCCATTCCTTCTTTGTTTTATATTTTTTTTCTTGCACTTATTTTTTCTAATGAGCTTCTATACTTGTAGTTGCTAGAAAGCTATTTTAAGATAAGGGAGAGAAATACAAAAAAATGTGAAATTTCATTTGAACGCACTATTTCATTTGTAAAATATGGCTGTCACGGGAAAAATTTCCTTTGTGTGCTAGAATTAATACTTTTAAGACCAATCAGTTTTGATGCGTTTTAAGCCAAATGTTTCCAAGACAGCAGACGATTGAAATATTTCTTTGAATTGATGTGGTTTATGCGCATGCCCAACCGCGACACTGCCTTTAATTCATGCAAAAGCATACAAACAAATTGGTATTTAAGGGGAATTCACGATCAATGGTTTTTGTTATACGAATAGAATTGCTGTAGTAGTACCAAGGTTCACCAATGCCTTAAACCATATACGCTTTACATATGATATGAACAAGAACAGCAAAGTTTGACATTTTAAAGATAGTCTGTATAATGAGCCAAAGAAGACAATTTGGTAATGTTCTACTTTCGGTAAAAAGTGAAAGATAAAATGACAAGCCGTACGTAATTAAATGCCATAAACAAAGGTTTCATTACAACTGCGAGATTTCGGTCACGCAGGTGCGACGACCTCGTTATATATGGCTATTTTACGATGAATGGACGAGCTTTGATTGTAAGTATCAATTCCCAGACTTCCAAACCGACTTCGATGTTTTGTATAGTCTAACAACGAGTCAACTGACCATATTACAGCTAAATCATCCGTCACTTCCGCAACAAAGCGGAGAGTGCATTGCTTGCGTCTACAAACAATGCATTGTGAGACTGCGTCCGCAGCCTTCTTTCGATAACAAGGCTGCACGTCATCACAAACCCCTTCGTCATGTCTCTCATTTAGAGTGAAAAAATTCAAGCGACTTACCTACAACAACAGTTACAAAAGCAACGACAAAGTAACTCGAAAATCTGAAGACCATCTTCTGGATGTACGCAGGACTGATACTGTTGCGTGACATTGAAAATTAAGGATACGTATCGCCTGTTTTGACCATTCAGCTTACGGCTACAAGAGAGAAACAGCAAAACATATTCACGCTTGCTTCTTTGTTTACAGACACTGACAGTGACAAGCAAGGATATCAAGGATAATGACATTAGAGAGAAGACAACTTTTACAGCTTGAGGAGAGGAGACTGATATCAAAATGCGATCGAACCATAAAACATGGCTCGCGTAAAGTTTTATGTTAGGACCGGGTAGGGGGGAATGAACCGGAAAAAAAAAGAGAATAAAGTAACCTAAATTGATGAATTGGTGAATAAATAAATAGATACAGAAAGAAAGAAACAAAGAAAATGAAAATTTCATTGTTCCTAAATAATAAAAGTTATGAACAAGGTGGACGCGTAGGTGATTTACTACACAAACTTTGATAAGCAGTGCCATGTTTTTTATCCAAGTTCAGGCTCGGTTACGAATCCTGAAATCTGAGCACGATTGGTTCATGGCGCGGTCGAGATTATCATTATTATTACCATAATTATTACAGTCATAAATTATTATGAACTGCATGCACCACATATAACAGCTGAGTTTTATGCGACATGTGTGAGAAAATATTTAATTATTTTTAATATTTAATACTTCAACGTAATTTTTTTGCAATTTCTTGAAAAACTAAAGGGGAAAGATTCCCAAAATTTACTGCACAAGACAATTTTGCTTAAAATCATAATGGCGGATATTTTCTTCCTTTTATTTACAGCTAAACCTGCTACAACAACCTGCGTCACAATCTATCAGTTGATGGCGTCTTTGAAGTGTACGGGAAGCCGTGTCCTTTCCATAGTGGAGATCAATTCTGTGGATTCATACATAATGACAGTTCAGCTGATAAATGTGAAATCTTCACTTGGCGTGGAGTATTCTACGATGGTGCAGATGAGAGAAATTTTGACGTAGCTTACTTCAGGTTTGTTTTCTATTCGAAGACATATATAGGAGCTAAGAACTGTGCAACAAAAACAGGATCTAGCGGAAGATAAGAAAAAGAGAAGATAAAAAAAGCACTATTTGAGATGATATAATGAAATTATAGCATTTTCCGTTCTTTACCGCAATAGAGAGAAAACCAGATTTATGTTGATGTAAAGTTCTTTACTATTTTTTTGATGTATGTGCATGATTTGGACATGTATATTGAACTCTGTTTCAGTTATAATTTATTGCATTCAGGAGTATCCATGAAAAACAAAAGTTAATCGAAGACTGATGGCGAGAACGAGCCTTATAAAATCTTACAGGTTTGAAAAAATTTGCCAATTGCCTTGACAACGCAGACTGCAAGGGGGCGCAAGTTGCTGCGGGTAAAGAAACAGCAATCTCCTTTCTCCCCATTCCCAATCTCTTGCCATGCGCGTCGTGTAGATGATTGGGAAGGAGTCATAAAACAGTCTGAAACTACATCGTCGGTATTCACGTGAACTGAATATGAGCTGCTGTTAAAGGAAGTTCGACATGAAAGCTGTTCTTGGGGCTGCTCTCTTCAAAACAATCTACAACTAAAAACTATTCGTGGTCGCTCACTTTGTCCCGCGCTTAAGTCATTGTGCTCTTGAATAATTTTTCTCTATTTTTTTAATTTTCGTCGTGAATTCTTCAGTAGGTTTTGGGTTTGCGGCACTCAGCAGAGATGTGGTTAACCTCTGTATTTCTTCCACAGGCCTTATGTAAATCAAAGGAGGCTGGAGATGAGAGCAAGCTCCTGTCCTACTAGCGCTACAAGAGGTCCAGTCTGGTTAACTGTTCGTGTTATGTTCAATTCAAATGAGACTGCCGATATCTATTTCCAAAACGACCTTGTGACGCAAGGGACGCCGTAATTTGACATAGATGGAACACCATGTAGGTGATGCACCAGGTATTGGAAGCATGTGACATATGAAAAGTAAACGAGTGACTAGTAACAAGTACTGTACTTGGCGATTCATCACAAGTAATGTAAGATTAACAATGTTAGTAATACAATCAACCTTCTTTGTTACTACATTTAGAACTCTAAGCATTGTAAGTGCTGCTCCGTATTTTTGGTATCATAATGAAAAAACAACAAATTTGAGGGAAGATGTTTCTCAGTGGTTGAAACAGGCGGGTCACCCCACCTATCATGTAAACGTGATCAAGATAAAATAAGAGATTATATGGACTGGTGGGTTACCCCACATTGGGGTTCCCTACATCTATGTAAAAAGGCCCTTAATTCGTTCTCATTACCAGCTAAGAACCCTTCCATCTCAGTCGCTTGTTAAATTGTAGACAAAGGTTCTTGGTGTTCCAGTTGACCATCATCTCTCTTGTGGCAGCCATATTCAAAAAGTGGCGGTCCAGAAAGTCAGTTCAGGAATAAGATCGGAGCCGTAAATTGGGCTCGGGATTTTGTAGTTAATATCGATAATATATTAATCCAACCAAATCTCAATAACTGCAGTGAGGTTGGAAAAGATTACTTGATAGGCTACAAAAGTTGCAAACTAGGTCTACCATACTTAAAATGTTCAACGATACTCATCTGTCGGAGGCTGGGAAACTTTTAAGCAAAGTTCATGTTGCACGGATCCCTAACAATTTAATAGACTTTTGCTGCTTTCTTTTCAAAAGTGCAGATCAACATTGGGGACACATACGCAATAACACTTTAAATGATGAATGTGGCATCGATCCAAGGAGCACATACAGGACATCTTGAAGTACTGTACAACGCTATTGACAAATGAGGACAATTTTGACTTTATTTCTGGTTTTTTTTACTTGTGCAGATGCATGTGAAAGAATACTTAGTCAAGGAGGAATCGAGTCTTTGAGATTCGAGTCTTATTCTCTACCACTGAGCTGAAGAAGACTCGATAATGAGCCATATTCATTCTAGCATTCAGTTTACGTATCTGACACTTTCGACGTTGCTTATCCTTTCCGCATACCGGCCGCTTGTCAAAGACAGCAAAGACATAAAAAGCAGCAGCAAAGACATAAAAAATGCCATAATATTGTTGAATTTTTAATCCCCGGATTTCCTAATTGGTTTACTCATCTCCGGTTATCAGTTCATCTTCCGGGTCACTACGTTCGAAAGTGCCTTGTGACGCGTTGGAAACTGAAAACCCTAAAGCCAGGTTCAAGAGACTTTAAAAAAGAATCGAAAACAAATTTTGCACCAATTTCATCCGACTAATGATCTGAAAAGTTATACATACACTTCTAGAGCTAAATGAAATATTTGTAAACCCCCCCAAAAAGTGTATTTAAATTATCCCACGATAAGTTGCAAGTAATGGAGTGAATAAAAAATCTGAAACGTTAATTGCCCTCTGCTCGGACCTCCTCATTGCTTGGAACCTTCCTTTATCTCCGTCACTACGTTTATACTTACTAAACTGGCTTGGACAAAGTCTGTTGTCATTGGTAACACTTCCTCCATTCCTTACATCCAATTGTCGCTATGACGTCACTGCTCCTAACTTGCACTCACAGACAGATTTGTTGGGACGCCCACTACCCCTCCTACCTCCCTTATTGTTTGTCAGTAAGATCCAATGAAAACATTGCGAATTAATAAAATGTGAAGGGGAGGTGAGCGAAAGAACATCATAATCGTCAGTCTGAAGGAGTGTCGCATCTAACTCTGTCTGAGTGTGTAGGCTGTTTATAAATGTTTGAAACCAATGATTCTTGTCATTGCCATGAATCCTTTCGATCAACTCCTACTCTAACCACGGATGATATGAAAATTTGAACATGTTATAAGGAATAGTATGAGGAACGAAATATGGTCGATTTACAACGATAAATATTTCGAAATACGAACATTCTACGCGTAAAATCGATAAAACTTACTCACATCCTTTGTGTCCGTTGTAGTTTCTGGCGATTTCTGCTGTTCTAAGCTTGCTTTACCATCACTGTTATTCATGTCAAAAGACATGAGGTTACTATTGTGGTAGTCTTTGCCCGCACGCTGAGCTTCCTGATTGTCGTCTGTTTTGTCTAGTTGTTTGATTATTTTCTTTCAGTACTGAGTTGGTCGTGTTCGGTACTTGAGTAAACGTTTTTTTCAAAACAGTTTAGGTTTAACTGATTATTGGGTAGTCCTTATGTGAGTCTTTTGCTCAAGAGCCTGTAGGACCGAACACGAAGTTTTTCCCCTTTGTAGTCTATGGAGCTTGAATTGTAACTCGAACAACGACTTCCGTAGATGTTAGCGTTTGGGTTTGTTTACTGACCTTGGTCAGGACCAGCACCAAACTTCTTTTTTTGATATTATAGTTCAAAGATTGGCTTTTTATTTAGAGAATATCAAGTACTTTGTTGATTAATTCAACAAGTGTTGTGAAAGTATTTGGAGAAGAGGTGTGTATAATCCTCCAGAGTCAGTCGGCCCATAGCTTAAACATGCTCACCAATAGAGTGCTCATGTCCTGAACAGATTATATTTCAGAATCATTACTACTATTCGGCTGTACAATATAAACAGAAATTATTATACTACTATAAACCCTAAAATTTACGCCTATTCTGAGAGAAAGTGCCTCCCCTTTCGGCCAAGACGGATCTTGGTTCTCTCCGCCTTTTTTTCCTTTTGGATTTTTCAATCGCATCTAGCTGGTTATCTATTTTTATTTGTTTGTTTTGCTTTCTCCTGCCGTTTCATACGTGGTTGTCAGCCCACTAAAAGCTCTCCATTGCAAAGTAGAGAGTCAAAAATGAAAGGAATAAACATAATAGTCAGGGTGAGGAAGTTTTAGCCAGGAGATAAAAACCGCAAAGACCACCTGGAGAGACAATGCAGGGGTCACTCATCTGATAATGTTTGATAAAACGGCTGTCGCTAAGCATTCAGCCACACAAGTTAGTTTCCATAACGTGAGCAAAGCTCGTCCAGTTTAAAAATGGAAAAGCGTTTGGAACAAAGCAGATATGAGGCAGTTTTGTCCTAGTCACT